CTAGCCCTCCCCCCTGCCCCTGCCCCCAACTTAATTCCTCAGCTCCCGGCACCAGTGAATACTGATAAAACTGGCACCAGGAGCGGCTTCTGGGATGGCGGGAGGCTTGCAAGTCTTGGGGGGGAGAGGGGGCTGCCTGGTCCATGAGGGTCTGGGGGCTAAAAATAGCCTGGTGTCAGGGGAGCAGGTAGGAAAACCTCAGTCTTAGGACTGCACTGGGAACTGTACAGAAGTTCAGTTAGATCAGTCTTGCTGGACCTGCTCTCTGTTAAACTACCTCTGAGGTACAGTTAACCTATATTGGGTCAACCATTTTTAGACTGATGTAACTTCTTGAACTTCTGTACAGTTTGCACTTAGATCCCTGGTTAGGCTAATCTACGTGTAAGCTCCGTACTTGGGTGAACTAAGTTAGACCAGGTGGCCATTTTTAATGCAATCTAACCTCCTCCTAACCTTCCTGAATGGGAAATGCAGGCTGAATAATGACCCTTTCACTCTGCAGAAACAGGAATAAACTCTGTGATCTGGACCATTTGGATCTAGGGGATAAATCAGGGGTCAGCAATGTTTTTGGGCATGGTGACAAAAACACCTGCAACCTCGATTTGTCAGATGTTGACATACCAGGGGTGGACAGTGGGGGCAGCCCCAGCCCCTTCCCCGAGGTTGCCTACCCCTGTGCTAAATGTTCCACTGCACAGTAGTGACTTGACTTCTTCCACTTTCCTCCCATGGCAGACATGGCATAACATACGGCTCATTTTTTTCCACACTTTAGCATGAACAAACCAGGAAATATATTTGAAATGATAAACACAGGATGCAAAAGGGCTGTAATATGGTCTTTAAAATTAATCCTTCACAATTCTTTTACATAGTCAATTGTATCCAAATGAGTACACAGTTCTCCTCTTCATATGCAAGCTGCAGTTATGCATGCAAATCCAAGTTGGTACATCTAAAAATAACTTTGGCATTAAAATTGTGGGTGGAATTTTAAGACCATTTTTCCTCCCATGATTCTGCCCATTCTTGGCCCTACGTAGAGCATTTCTCAGCCTTCTGATGAAAAATAATTATGTATGTTTTTGAAAAAAATGATTTGCAATTTGTGACAATGGCAAGATATTACAGAAGTCTAACCTAAGAACTAATTTCCACACTACAGCCACCTCTACACATTACATATATCATGCAATTACTGGGTTGATTGTGCAATTAATTCAGACTGGCTACACATGCAAGTTAGCTACCACGCCATAAAAAGGACCAACCAGCTATAAAGTTATTGCTGGAAAATGTGTAATAGCTTCATAGCTACACATGCAAGTTAGCTATCACGCCATAAAAAGGACCAACCAGCTATAAAGTTATTGCTGGAAAATGTGTAAAGCTTCATGTCCAGCTTTAATTTTCATGTGTCGCAGGGTCTGTCCCTGTGGCTGGGAGCCCCGTCAACTAACCAGGCTGCCAGTTGCAGGGGTGTACCATGTACAGCTAGGGCTAGGAGTCCCATAGCTGAGGGGACTCCCACTAGTGCTTGGCAGCTGCGGACTCTGGGCCCCTCTACACATGCAGGCAAAGATTCAATGCAATCTAATGCGTGATTCACACAATTGCACCTCCTGCCATGCCACGTGTCTGGCAGGAGGTGTGATTGTGCAATCGTGCATTAGATCCCAACACACCTTACTGCTGGTGCAGAGGGAACCCATCCTACCGCACCTTTACCAGCACGCATACAGAAGTCCTAAATAACAGCCTGCTTTAGAATCAGTATATCCAATCCAAAGGAAAAGGTCAGTGCTTAATGAGATCCCAGTCTTGTAGTTTGGTGCAAGGACTCGGCAGTGTAGGGCTAGGAACACACGTTGCATTTGTTTCGGGACCAGTTATGCCTGTGTTTGTCCCAGGACAGAAACGTCCTGGAATTGGCACATACATATGTGGCCCTTCCAATCAGGGTTTATTGAACAGCTGAATTCACTGCTGCCCATCTGCCATTGATCCAGTGATGCAATCCTGTTCAGATGCGTGTCAATGCCCTGGGGCAAACTGTCAGTACTTCTTATCCCATGAACCTTTTTAGGGTTTGTCATGGGACAAAAGACACGGATGTCTGAACGATCACACTTTGTCCCAGGAAAAACAAACAAACCGTTTCTCTGTAGGACAAATGTGACATCTGTTTGTAGCCTATCTGTGAAACTTAATTTAAGAATTAGTGTCTAAGGAAAATATTTTAGTCACATGATATTAGCAGTCTTTTAATTTTGTTCGTCAGGCTGAGAACAGCTTGCACTTTCTTGCCGGGGGTTCACAGACGGCCATTATGAAGAGCTGTTACTTTTTAAACAGTGTCTATTCATGGTTTCTGATCTAGAACCTCAGAGTTCAGTCCCTGCAAATGACCTATCCAGGTCTGTCAGGCATAAAACCAACCAGTGGAGAACAATGAATTTTGGAAAGAGAGCAAAGCATTTTTTATATTTTGAGCTTCTAGAGAGCTATCAATGGGACCAAACCAAATGATTTGCCAAAGCACAATGCATGAAAGGCTTACATCCTTGCATTCACATAGAGCATATAATTTTATAAGAACAACGGTTTATTTCTTCCACTCCTAGAGCAGTGCGCATAAGTTCGTTACCAAGGAACAGAGTGCAATAAAGCACTGCAAATATCACAAGAATTGACTTACCACCGAGTCAAGAAATCTAATGCAGCACTCAAGCTCAGGTCGAGTTTCACAGAACTGCCGAAAGAGAAGCCTTCCAATTGGCTGCTTTTCACATAAGCTGTAGTAATCTCTCTCTAGAGGCAATAAAAGAAAAAAAAAAAAAGTGTGAGAGAAACTGAAGACCCTCTTTACTCCTTTTGGACTGGTTAGGGGGTTTAAAACATCATAAGCAAACACAGCACAAAGTCCTGACTCATAACTCTACCTTGGAAACATCAAAGGAAAAAACAAAACCCCAAAACAATAAGGGATTTCAGGGCATAGCACCATTGGCTCAACTCTACTGAGCTAATGCAGGCAAGAGTCCTGATAAGGCCATTCTGCCATGAAAAGATGATGATTTAGGACCACTCGTGGCTGGAGTTGTATGTACTCAGGGAAGACACTGTTCATATTGGTTAGCTCTGAGGATAAGGAAGACATAGGAAAACATCCTAAGGACACAGTTATCAGAGGCCTTGAAATGCAAATGTACATGTGTTGCTCTATCAAAGTTTAGAGTACCTGAGAAACTGTAATGACTGCCCCCAGGCCAGTCTTCTCATATACATGTCCCTATGGGTCAGAACGTCACTACTTTCTGGAAAAAAATTAGAGGTCATAGTCCATTTCTAATGTACGTATATTTATAGGTCTTTTAAAACCTGTGTTATCTGTTTATTGACCATTTACTAGCACTCAGGGCCTTTTATGTGCAGCACCCAGCCTGTAGGATTTAATGTTGTGTGATCATCTTTACTCCTGTAGCAGTTTGTTTAACTCCCCCCTAAATATTATCTTCAAATGTTGTTTGCCTGCCCTGCATCGTCCCTGGTTTCTGAACCACAACCTGATTAGAGTTAAGTGCTTTACAAGTTAATCTCTCATAGGAAAAAGGAGGGGAAAGGGAAACCAACCACCACTAATTGGTACGGCACAAATACAAACTAGCTGGTGTCAAATGTTAATTTTGAAAGATCAGCAGCAAACGTGAACCAGCCCAGAGCTGCCGCACTCGCTTAGGAGATATTATTCCTTCAGAAATGCACAAAATGTCAAACGACATATTGTGTTTCCTTAAGCGTTCTTCTCACCGCCTTCCTCGCTGCCATATGGCAGTTACTGTTATTATGGAAACAACTCGCTTCTAAACACATAACATAACACTGCAAACAGACATGCAAAACCCACACAAGTTGTCAGTGCTTTGGTTACTTCTGTCTCAGGGCTGTAATAGCTGTAAGTAGCATCGTTTATTCCCATCTCCCTACGTTTCATAGTTGGTCGGGTCGGAAGGGACCTGAGCAGATCATCGAGTCCAACCCCCTGCCATGGCAGGAAAGAGTGCTGGGGTCAAACAGCCCCAGCAAGGTGTACATCCAGCCTCCTCTTAAACAACCCCAGGGTAGGAGCCAGCACCACTTCTCTTGGAAGTTGGTTCCAGATCCTAGCCGCCCTGACAGTGAAGTTGCACCTC